TACAATGGTGTGTCAGTTTCTGCTGTATAACAAAGTGAATCAGGTATACATATACATATATGCCCATATCCCCTCCCTCTTGCGTCTCCCTCCCACCCTCACTATCCCACCCCTCTAGGTGGTCACAAAGCACCGAGCTGATCTCCCTGTGCTATGTGGCTGCTTCCCACTTTGCTCAAAATCTTTAACGTAGAATTTCTTAAAGTATAAATGAATACTTTCTTAAATTATTTAGGAAACAGAGATATCCATATTCCTTCTCATAGCAAACATTTAACTCCTGGCAGTGTTAAACACAGGCCTCAGACCTGGAATTAAGAGTTTAGGAAATTCTTTTTTGATCACAAGAGATATCTCTCATAGAAGTCATACAGGTAAAGTTTTTTATGTGTTAGACTTCCTCCTTACTTTATAGGCAGAAAAGGCTAAATTTTAGCTTCAGAGTATTAAAAACAAGGAAATCGTTTATCATTAAAATTTCAATTATTAAAAAAATACCACTGTAACTTGGGATTCTTCTGTCTTATTTATGAGCTAGACAATAAACCAATTTTAATGAAATGTGAACTTAAAAGATAAACCATTAAAAATTTCATCTGAATATGTAATGAGCCTATCAGCTGGTATGAGCTGTGACAGTACATGGCTCCTGGGTGGCCTAGAGGGTAGCAAACTGGAAGGGAGAAGCTTTGGCACCCATAACCCAAAGACAGAGTAATAAGTCACTAACTTGATTAAAGCAGTTAACTCACATGCCTTCATAAAGATTTCTGGGGCTTAGTTAGTCCTGGGCCTAAAGTATTTTGGTCACATGACAGATTTGTATCAGCTCCCTTTCCCACCGGTGCAGGCAGAACCAAGCAGCTCCCTCAGCCCAGCCACTGGGGAAATTACTCTTCTTCCTGGTGTCCTGGCTTTCTTCCCTCCTGGAGAGGATACCAGGGCCTAGAAAAATCCCACCACACCTGCTCCTCCCGTGTGGTCTGGCTCTGAGGAAGAGAGGACGCAGAGAGGGTATGACCCATGTCCCTCCCTCCCCACCATCTCCGTCCTGCCCGTCTCAAGAGCTCCTGGCCCCCTGCTCATTTAGCTTCCAGATGCTGCTCCTTCTTCAGAGTCACTGGAACAAAACCCATGTGCAAAGAGCATTAGGATTCTGACTTGGCCCTAAGAACCAGCATTCTATACCTCAAGTACTGCTAACATCTGACTCGAGATTAAGCTATTTAGCTGTAGTCTCAGGAATGGTTTCTGTGATGCGAGCTGCCTCCCTGGATGGCTGGCTACCCATTTTTAATTTCTGACCATAAACTTTTCCTATCCCAACCTCAGGCTGTTTTCTCCCCAATCATTATACATAATGGTCATTAAAAGTTCACGTTGGAGTCCTTGCTCTGTAATAAGGACTGGAAATCTAACAAGGCAACCAGATAAGAGTCAATTTCAGAAAAAATTTTGTCTCATATTTGTCCTCTCCCTTTTTAACATCTTTATTTAATTTTTAGAGATTCAGATAATTCTCAAGGCAAAAGGCCTTTTTAGATATCCTCAAAGAACCTCCAGAGTCTAAATACTTGCCTGTACTTTGTTTCCACTGGGCTATGTTAGTTGAAAAATACTGACAAAACATCATCATATATTAGAATTTTTATCCAACTCCAAATCTGGAGACTGGCACAGACATCAGCAGTGAGTCTGGCACTGGAGCTCTGCATGATGCTCATTTTAGACTCAGAGCAGAGTCCACAAGCAAAAGAGGTGGTGGTCTGGGGGGAGCTGGTAGGACCACTTAGTATCCACAAGGGCTACAAGGTTGAAGCTTGTACTTTGGTGAAAACAGTAACTTAGAAAGCGGCAACTTATTCTCATTTCTCAGTAGTTTCAGCAAGAGCTGCTCATGGTGTACGGGGAACTCTACTTCCTGGAGTCTGTTGCTTATAGTGATCTTTCAAGGGCCGCTTTTCTCCAGAACTCCAAGCTCTGTTCAAACATCTGTGGTGTGGTCTTTGGGGACTGTGTCGGGAAACAGAGCGGGCCTTCTGAAAGATGTCAGCAGACTGGGACTAACTATGTGACTTTCCAAAAGTCGCAACCTCTCTCTGGGCTTTAGCTGCCACATGAGTCCTCAGGTCCCATTTAGCTCTAACATACTACAGTCCTCATCTCTTCCCTGCTGGGACACTCAAGCTCGGTAAAGATAGTAAATCCTAGTATGGAAATTGTTGTGATTTCACAATACAACACATTTCAATCATGCCCAGCTTTATTTCAATAACTGCTCAGGAAGGTGAAAAGTCAGGCATATTAGGTCAAAGATCATAAAAGGGGAATGGTTGGTTGGCTTCCAACCCTACAATTTGGGATTTGTGGGAATGCAGAAAGGAACATGACATTTGACCTATAAATTATGCCAAATTATACTGTAAAATCATTTTTAGCAACTAAATGGTCTCAACTTGGTAAAAGGGAAAAACCAGGAACTTGGGGCTAGAAACTACAAGAACAGGAAGGCCCAGTACAGCAAGGTTAATTCTATGAGTTTTCCAAGGTCATTTCTAGCCAGTACGTCACTTTAGAATTGCACTGTGTCACTTTTATGTGACCCATTTCTCTCACTTTAACCTTCCTTTTGTCATACTTGGTTCATCGTTTCGACCTCTGTCCTGACATTAGTAATTTCTCCCCAGTGACCAGGAACAATGACTCTGCCCCAAAACTGTCCTGGAAAATGGAACTCTTCACTTTCAAGAAGGACAGGCAATTTATCAGAAAACCACTCTTTGTCTTCAATAACTGAGCTGCTTTTTTTTTTAGTACTTGATTCTAGTCAGTGCCTAGCCTGCTGCTGAGTTTGAATTGCCATTAAAAACCAGAATAAGCAATGACAAAGAACAGTTTTTTCCCTATTTAACTATTAAATCATTTTATTTTTCAGACCTCTCATTTTTTTCCTATATGGCATGTCCCACCTGCAGGTGAGGTATGTGATTTTAAAGAGCTACACAGAGCTGGCTTTTGGGAAATCCAAATATCAGAATGATCTGGGTTTCCCAAAAAAGGAATCACCTTAAAATACAGGTAGGACTGGTGGACTTCTAAACTGACTCTGAGTACCCTGCTCACCATGCGTCTGTGCTGACATGATCCAGAGTTACACTGGTATCCCTCAGAATTAGAAATCCTTTACTCAGGATAAAATAGGGTATTACAGCTGGGCTGGGCTGTTTTCTGGGTTTGGCCCAGATCCAGCATACTCTGAGCAAAGACAGAGCAAGGATTAAGTGTAAGGCAAACACTCTGCTACTAGGGGGAAAACACTCACTTTTCTGTTTCCTGGTCTGTTTCCATCCCCACCCCCGCCCAGGCCTAATGAACGACATCAAATTTAAACCTGTGTTCTTGAACTGGCAGTAAAAGAATGAACTAAGCCATCTGCTGAGCCACCTTAGTAAGGATGGGAAAGGAATAAAAATTACAAGTCTGCGCTGGACGGAGGGCCTCGAGGAGCAAAAAGCCTAACCCAGAAGTGTCCCGGACTGGCTGCGGACAGCTATCACACCAGTGTTATCTGGGCAAATAGCCTGATTTTTAGCTCTGAAAAGCAACAACAGACTCACCGCACCAGACTGTCGATGAAGCTCACAAGCTGTTCTCTGAGGACTTCAAACTTGGTCTGCCTCTTACTTGCTCTTCTTAACTCCTTCATTTCCAATAATGACTATGGATGAAAGAACACACCTTGTTCTGTTTCTGGTGATTCTGAGACAGAAAGCCCCACAGAGGGCAGCTCTGTCGCTCAGGCAGAGGCAGCTGATGCCCTTTCCATACGACAGAATGTACAGAAAAAGAACCAGATCATCAGGGGTTATATTTATCTTTTATTTTTCAGGACTGGGAAGAATCTCTCCTCCTAGGTATTTTGCTTCAAAAAATATAAAGTGACTTTTCAGAGAAAGACGAGAAGGGCAGCTTATGTCGCTACTAAGTTATAGGGCAGAGCGCTCACGAGCCACAAGCCACTAATTCATTTGAGAAAAGGACTTCCAAGAAGAGGAGAAAATGCTTGCTCTTTGCCATGCTAACAGAATAGATTCCATATGCTTTGGTTTGCTTAGATTGATATTTTATTCTACGTTTCTCATAACTTGGTATCATGGTTTACAGAAGGTTCTTTACTTTGACAACCAAGATCCTAAAGTTAGAACTATCTGAAAAAGGCTACACTAGACAAACTGTGGCTCAATTTCTGCTCTATACTCAATATGCATTTCTTTAAAAAAAATCAAGAAAAATATCTAAAACTAAAGAGTTTCTTCTGAACCTCTCAATTTGATCAAACTGAAAAACAAATACATCAGATAAATAATCAGATTCCTTTTTGCAACCAGGTTCCCATTTTCCCTTATTACTAGTTAATTCTCTTTCTCTCTGAGGCAATCGGAACAGTTTCCGCCAACTTCTACATGGAGAATGAGGATAGCAGTGGGATAAACAGGATGTTCAATTTATAAGTGAGTTACAAAGTCTGCTTTGTTCCTAGTTGTGGTTTAAAAATGAAAACAAAAACATCCAGGCAGAGCTAATCTAGAGCACACGGGAACATCAGGGGATGTGGCTGGAAGGATAAGAAAGTGCTCTGACCTTCTGAAGATGATAGAGGTCTGTCTTCTGAAGTCCCTTTGACTGTGACTCAGAAGTATCTTCTTCTTCTTCTTTGGCTTCTGCTTTTAATACAAAACCAACATACAGCAGCTTGGGTAAATCCATTTAAGAGAACAAACATTTCTACTACTCCAAGGGAAATAAAGTTTCATCCATTTCTTTTTTTAATGTGGCAGGGGATCAAGGTTCCATCACATAAATGATTTCTTCCAGAAGCTGAAGGTCAATAAATATTACATAAGTTATGCTGCAGAGAGGTCTTCAAAGAAACCAGCTACTGAATTTTAAAAATGTGACCAACAGTGAGAACAAAACAAAATACAAACAAATCCCCTCAAACCAATAGGAAAAAAAATCTCCAAATCTTTGTGCCATTATAAATAGCTTTTAAAAAACAAACAAATTTAAATTATGGTCCTTTGATTATGCCATGATTGATGTAAACAATACAAACCTACACCCTGGCAAACTTGGCCTGGATCTTCCCATTCTCTATATTTGACATGCTATTTAAGTCTGAAGTCGGTAGTAAATATAAGTTTTGAAATAATCTACTGAAATACAAACTGCATCATGGTTCTTTAGCAAAGGAAACAGAAAACCGTATCTAGTAAAAGGTGTAGTTGTGTTTCCAGAGAACATGAGGTTCTAACAGCCTCTCCCTGGTGCAGGGCAGGTTTTAGGAACCTCACGCTCACATGGCTTATTTGGCCAAACCTAAGACAGGAAGATGCAGCCGGAGAATCTGCCTTGTTCTCGAAGAATAAATTTCTTTTTAGCTATTGATAAATCTTGGTTCAAGAAAGATATGCTTTAAGGTTAAAATATCTAATAAATTCTCTGTCCCATTTCATTAACATGTAGCAGAGCCTTAAAAATAAATCTGATATGACACTCTGACCTACTTAACCCTCCAAATGTAATTTTAAACCTAAACTGTAATGTGTAATAACTGTCAAGGAACTAGAGATAGCATACAGTCAAACTGTACGCCTGTCCAATATGGGAGGGTGGGGTTAATTTCACTTTATTATTAATAATGTGCCACTTTTGAAAACAGAAAGTACATTTATTCAAGACACTCGTTTTGCTTCAACTTACAAAATTCTTTATCCTTCAGACAGTTAATCATCTTAATTACCAACCTTCCCATTTCTAAAAGCTGTGTTCCTTTATTTAATATTAGCACATCACAGGATTTGTTCACTAGCTTACATGAACTCTAATTAAAATTATTATAATATCTGCAGTTTCATTTTACAAAAATCCCTGAGTCTGATTTTGTAAAAGATTGAAATTTACCTAATTTATCTTATATTCTTCTAAGTCTTTTACCCTGTTTATATCCTTAAGGGCAGCCCCTCACTGTCCCAGTGACCCTAACTAGGTGGCGACTGTGAGTCCGTGAGAAAAAAAAACAATAAGCTGGTGATTAAGAAAGAGATGGGTTCCAGGCTGGGTACTACCCTAGCTAGCTACAAGATCTCAGGCAAGCTCCTTCCTCTTCCTGGGCTTTAGTTTCTGTTGCAGCTGGACTCAATAATCTCTACGATACCAATTTCCAGCCCTTTAAAATGTTTATGATTTGAAAATGGTTCAGCTCACTTGTCCTGCAAATGCACTGCAGAGTAATAATGCCTGTGCGTGATCTGGAGGGAGCCCCTGGTACCATGGGGTGGCACTTCCTCACGCTCATGCCCCTCCAGTCAAGTAGGCTGGCTCTTTCATCTTGCACTGGCTCAGCACTCATGGGGCCTAGCGCTGCAGCTATGGAGAGAGAGGGAGGGATTCAGCAAAAGACGTTTCCTAAATCTAAAGGATTTAAAGACAAAGGGACACTTGCCAAACACAGAAAGGATTGATAGGAACATTCCAAGTGCAATGTTTTCACCATGCCTTGGTTCGATCCGTGTGCTTATACACCAAGTTGCCTCTTTTCCCCAGACCCCATTAAAAATTTCCCTCAATAGGGGAAAATAAGAAGTGCACAGTCATTTTGCTTGTTTTACTGAAGGAGTACTATACTTTGGTGCTAGAAACAGAGCAAGGGAAGAGCCCATGAAAAGTTAAACATCAGTATCAATCCACTGAGCCCCCTCAGAACAAAGAAGTCCTGGAGCATCGGAGTGCTGAACAGGCTGCCTGTGCACAAGCAGGCATCCCAGCGTTCGGCAAACACAGCGAATCCTGTGCAGGTCACGCAAGGTAAAGGAAACTGTGCCCTCCTCCAACACTGAGGAATGCCAGGCTGCCGCAGTTCATTGAGGACTGAAAGATTCAAGCTTTGTAAACCTGATTGAAGCAAACCTCATGCATATTTTGGTAATCAGCATGCCAATGAGCCTCGCTGCTGTGAAAGCAGTTCACAGCTATTAATTTTCAGGCTTACAAATAATTTATGCAGTGTTTTTGAAATCTATAAAGAACTTGATGAAATGCTTAAGAAAAACATCTAAAAGGAGTCCTTAATTATGATGCCCTGCTACTCTCTCCAATCTTTTTGATTTCTTTTTGCTGCCCTTTTTGTTTTCTCCCCTGAGGTAAGTCCTCAAAACTGTCCATCTGGAGAAAGAAATTTCTTTCCTGCCCATTTGATAGTTTTCATTGTTTAAACCAAATCTGGAAGAGAACCATTTGGCTTAGTTGTCACGTTGTGCTATTCTGAGGCTTGGTATGCTGACTGATCACAAACTACGTTACCTCTTCATCTCTCAACACATCGGAACGTGGGGTTTTCCATGTTATTTTATAGTTAAATGACTGTCATAGCCAGTAGAATTGGCCAGATATTATATTCTCACCATCGAGGCTCTGAAACTGGGCCAGGAACTCCTCTATTCTCTTTGCTGTGTTGCCAAGCTGCTTTTCAGAAGAGGACTTAAAAACCTTGAAACATTTCTGAAGCATGGCCATCAGTTCATCCTTTGCCAACATCCTAGAACAGAATCAGTGACAGGAGATGTAATATAACTGGAAAATTCATGTACTTAAAAAACACTGTCTACATTTTAAATGTTTCTGGTCAGAAGAAGATGGTATAAAATGCTTCATTGGTAGCTACCAACTTTTTGGGGGGAGACTTTCCTCAATGTATGTGATATTCAGAAGTATTCAGAAGAGTTCTCATGATAAAGCTCAACTTGGAAAGTTTACAATCTGGGTTCATAGCCTGGTTCTGGCACTTACTATGTTTGTAACATAGAACACTTTACTAAACATCTTTGATCTTTGGCTTCCTTGCCTGTGAAATGGAAATAGGAACTCACCTATTTCACAAGGCAGATGGAAGCTTAAGAATTCAATAAGAAGATGCATTTGAATGAGCACAGTGCTTTTACCACACAGCAGGCATTTAAGGTTAGTTTCCCTTTGCTTCAGATCTAAACATAAATAAGAGACAAGAAACGTCTGCTGAGGATGTAACACTCATGCTAAATGAAACCTGTTTGAAATGACCAAAAAAGTATTATCAGTGATTTCTTTATTATTTTAGCTAGGCTTTATATCTTCTATGGGCTTTGTTAACACCAATCAGTAAATCCACTGAACTTTAAAACTAGTAGGCAATTCTGCTTGCTCTATATAGCATAGGTAGAATGATTCTGTAATTCCTTCAAGGCCACAGAGGAAATCTTTGTTAGACATGGAAAATGAACACAGATATTCTAAAATTAAGATCCTGTTTTCAGGGTCATTACTTATAGGATCTCTCCCCTAAGATCATATTCAGTAACAGATGAAAGTACAATGATTAAAAGTTCTTACATTAATCATGAAAGAAAACAATCGACCAAACCCAGAATATGGGTCATTCTGTAAGAAAACTATCTTATGTTTGACGTTTTTCATAGTAAAAAATTTGGGGAAAATACTATTATTACTAAGTTAGAGAAAAAAATGAAGCTAAGTAGACTATGATTACCTCAAAATTAAGCTGGTTACTTCAACTAAAATTTAAACCCAAACAAAAAACAAAAAACAAAAAAAAAGACCCAGAACAAAAGCAAACGAACAAAACAGTCACACAACCAATAAATACAGAAACTGGCAGGGGTGGACAAAAACGTAAACTTTTCCCTAGTTTTAAGAATATAAAATCTTCTCTTCCTCTTTCTACAACAATGAAATAATTATCCAAAGTGTAATCTTTATCTGTGAATGAAGGGCAGCTAACAAACATGTCAAAGACAACAAAGCCAACACATTTAATTCTTGATTACATTTGAGATTATTTTAAATTTCTGGCTTTCTATTGCCCAGATGTAGTCAAACTATTAAGAGAAGAGCGTTAACTCGAAGTCAGATACGGTTGAACAATCTGTCATACGCGAACTTAAGCCCTACTCAGACTAGATCAGCATTTCCAGGCTCCAAGGAATCCCGGGCACTGGCTTGTTGTAAGGGCAGAGGCTGAGGAAACGCTCGAGGAGGTCTAACCTGCAAGAGCAGCACCCTGAGGGCTAGCTCCCCAGGCCACAGGCAGCCACACCTCACATCTCTTTGCAGCTTACAGAACTGAATATTGAGGAGGGCAAAGCCCAGCCTATTATTCATTTTCAGGATGCAATAAAAAATGGCATTATGTCACATAATTTTGAAATCTAACTTTACCAGTCATAATTTTTAACGTGGCATTTGATTGGAAGGGGTAGCTCTTTCATCTCAGGTATAAACTTCCAGGGATTCAGACAGTTATTACTCTTTTTATTCTTAGCCAAAGACTATGTTCTTATTGTTTCCAAAGTAACAAAAGACCTTATATGTTCCCAAGTACTCTCAGGTTTAATATAAAACAAGACTTGAAGTAAGGTTGATTAGAGCAAATAATGTGAACCCAATAAAGTCATTAATTGAAATTTTTCAATTAAATTATATATATTTACACAAAGAACAAAGATGCCTGCTATCATCACTATTATTCAGCATCATTCTAGAATCTATTCTACAACAATAAAAATGAAGCAAGTGGTACAAACATCAGAAAGGAAGATGAAATTTATTATTTGCACAGGATACAACAGTAAGGTTAGAAAGTCTAAGAAAGCTACAGAAGTATTAAAGAGTGTAAAAAGGGTGGGTGCATATAAGGCAAATACATATGTGTGTGTATATGTACACACACGTCAATACCTTACATTTACATGTAATCAATGTCTTAACATTAAACTATGGAAAAAAGAGCATGTTCAAAATGGCAACAAAAACTATAGAATAGGGCTTCCCTGGTGGCGCAGCGGTTGAGAGTCCGCCTGCCGATGCACTGCCGATGCAGGGGACACGGGTTCGTGCCCCGGTCCGGGAAGATCCCACATGCCTCGGAGCGGCTGGGCCTGTAAGCCATGGCTGCTAAGCCTGCGCGTCCGGAGCCTGTGCTCCGCAACGGGAGAGGCCACAACAGTGAGAGGCCCGCGTACCGCAAAAACAAACAAACAAACAAACAAAAACTATAGAATATTATGACAAATGTGTAAGACATAGCAAAAAAATGAAAGCCCTGAATAGGCATTTTAAGTTCTAACTCTCAATACTGTAAAGATATAAATTCACTCCAAATTAATCCAAAATTTAATACTTTTTGAAACAAAATTCCAGTGGGCATTTTTTAAAAGCCAAAAAAAAATCACTCTGAAATTAATCTGGAAAAATAACTGTTCCTAAAACAGGAACAAAGTGTGTATACTTGAGTGTATGTAGTGAGTGGGGCTATTAATATATCAAAAGGTATACGCTACAGTGATTAAAATCAGATGGTACTTTGTATAGGAATAGACAGGACGATAGAAGGAAATAAGAGTCTAGAAAGAGATCAAGGTATATATGAGAATTTGGTACATGACACAAAGGTACCACTTCAAATCAGTGGGGAAGAGATGGGGAGTACTGGAAATAACTAGTTTGAAAAAAAACAGATCATTACCTCAATATATTTCAGAAAGAATAAAAATGTTGGGGAGGGGAAAGAACCAGTCCATCGATCATGAACTACTAGAAGAAAAAAAGAAAACTATTTAAGTCTGGTAACATCCAGCATCAGCAAGAGTACAGGGAAATAAATACTGATACATTGTTGGTGCAAGTGTACAACAGTGTTTATATTTTAGACTCAGAAAGTCTATGTACTTATTTTGTGGAAATAAATATACTAACATGCAAACACAAACTCACCCTCAGTGATTACTGTTTGTAACAATAGAGAATTAGAAACAACCTAAACATATATCAAACAAGGGACTAATTAAAGTGTTACACTTTCAAAACAAGGGATACTACATAGTGGGGATAAATAATGAAGTAATACAAGTGATGACAGCTAATATTTCTACGCACAGGTATGTATGCCAGGCATCATTTTATCTCCACAACACTGTATGATGAGATACTATTATTATTCCCATGTTAAGAGGTGAGAAAACAGAGGCACAGAAGACTCAAGTAACTTGCCCAGAGTCTGGTTGGCAAAGCTGGGATTTGAACCCAGTCTGGCTGGGCATCCGTGCTCTTACCGATGATCTTATAGTGCATCTCAAGACACAATGTCCGGTAGAATATTAGGAGCAAAACAAATAACTACCATGACAAAAACCAATCAGACAAATCCAAAAAACAAAAAAAATGCAAATTGTGGAACACTGTATAGTATGATTTAATATATGTTTGTGCCTGCAAAAAAAATCTGAAAGTACAAACTGCCAACAGTGGATGACTGGCTTTCAAAGTTATATAACACAAGGAGTAATGTCAGAAAAGTACTGTTATGTTTTCATTTAGATTACTGTTAGAGTGACTCCAGCAAGCACTTTGGACAAACCACACCTAACTGAACAAAATTAACTAAAAATGACTAAAAAATAAAAATTAATTTTATCCCCCCAAAGTTTGTTACATATAGCAGCCCAAATAGAAAATTAAGGATTGAGGGACTTTCCTGGTGGCACAGTGGTTAAGAATCTGCCTGCCAATGCAGGGGACACGGGTTCGAGCCCTGGTCCGGGAAGATCACACGTGCCACGGAGCAAAAAAGCCCGTGTGCCACAACTACTGAGCCTGCACGCTAGAGACCACGAGCCACAACTACTGAGCCCATGTGCCACAACTGGTGGAGCCTGCACACCTAGAGCCCGTGCTCCCCAACAAGAGAAGCCACCGCAATGAGAAGCCCGCACACCGCAAGGAAGAGTAGCCCCTGCTCGCCGCAACTAGAGAAAGCCCATGCGCAGCAACGAAGACCAAATGCAGCCAAAAAAAAGAAGAAAATTAGGATTGAGTCTAGCCACCAGACCAGCATTTTTCAAACTGGGTTTTCAAAATGGGTTTCAACCATTTTTAGTCAAGAAACCATTCATTCATTCATTCATTCAGTCATTCAATAAACATTTACTGAATACTTACTAATACCAGGCATGGTTCTGGGCATTTAATATACACCTCAGTGAATCAAAAAACCCTGTCCTGGGCTTCCCTGGTGGCGCAGTGGTTGAGAGTCCGCCTGCCGATGCAGGGGACACAGGTTCGTGCCCCGGTCCGGGAAGATCCCACGTGCCGCGGAGCGGCTTGGGCCCGTGAGCCATGGCCGCTGAGCCATGGCTGCTGAGCCTGTGCTTCGCAACAGGAGAGGCCACGACAGTGAGAGGCCCGCGTACCGGGGGAAAAAACAAAACAAAACAAAGAAACCCTGTCCTCATGAAACTGACATTCTAGCTGGGCTGGGGGGTGGTGCAGAGATAACAAACACTATCTCATATTACTATATATGTTAAAAATTGGTATTATGGAAAAATATTGAGCAGAGTTGGGGGGGGAGGGTTTGAGGGCAGGTAGGTTTCAATTTTAAAATAGTTATTAGGCCTCACTGAGATGACATTTGATCAAACATGTGAAGGAGGTAAGAGAGTCATACAAGAACCTAGGAGAAAAACTTTTCCTGAGAGAAAACAA